GACTGCGCTGAGGCAGGCTTGGGGTCACTTCTAGAGGCCTTCATCATTACAGGCATGACCGGAAAGTGTTCAGGTTGGAAGGTGTAACCCAACATCGCTGACAGTTGAAACAGGACCCCACATTCATGACTGCGGACATTGCGGCAATCCTTATCACAAAAGCTACAGCGGCCACGACCACTGCCAATATTGGCGAGACCAACGACATGTGCAGCATATTGGGCAGCATGTGCAACCATCTGCGGATGCTGATCTGTGTAGTGCTTATGGATGGATCGGGCAGCTATCTGGCAATGACAAAAAGCGCAATGGCAAGACAGTTCCTTAATGAGGGCTTGATTCAACAACAATCCCGGGATCGACTTGTGACGTAGGTGCATCTTCAGATCAGGTCGCGCCACAATCGGAATGATCATCTCCTGAGCCGGGTTGAATGAGGTGCAGACCCTTCGATTAATGTGATCCCTCAATCTATAAAAATCCACAAATGAATGAGAGCAGTGTGAACAGATTGGACGACCGTTCCAGGCGTCTCGCAAGGGATTATATAGATCATCCGGTTCACAAGGGATGGTGTGTGCTTGTCTCATGTGGCGTTTAAGGGCTCCCACATGGCACTCCGGGCACTGAAGTTCCTGAGTGAGCTGAGGATCCGGTGTGTCGACCGGCATGGTAAGATCGCTCGGCCATACATCTGGGGTGCAGGCACATATGTCAGGTGAGTCTTCAGTCATGGCTTCCAGTCGAAGTTTGATAGCACGGCGATGCAAGGCTTGTTTGATCCTATGTTGTTGTTGTTGAAGCTGGGTCCAAGGCGGATTGAGATGAAGTCGGTCGAAGAAACTTTGCGTCGATTCGTGTGTCAGACAAACAGGGGACTTAGTCATGATCCTATGATGTGTATTGATCATGCTTACAAGTCTGGCCAGACCTCGACGAGTGATCCCCATTTCATGGATGCCATAGCTGACAGTGGCCATAACACATTGACGATACAGCTTTAATCGGATTGCAAGTGGGTGAACCGTGCTGGTAAGCCAAGACCTAATTTGGGCGAAGCACCACTTAGCAGCTGCAATCCGTCTCATGGTTGAATCAAAATCGAATGCACGATAACTCAGAAACACTCCAAGATAGGCTGTTTTAGACACGAGGGGCAAGCGCCAGAGTTTCTCCGGCAAGATCAGCTCTGGGCCATCCGGTTTTCGATGTACCCAACGACGTAGGAAGCTAGGAGCTTCGCGACCAACCAATCGGATGATGGCAAAGCTCTTTTGCATGTTAATCTTGAGACCAAATGCACTAAAAGTATCCAGTACATGTTGAAGCTCAGTTAAGGCCTCAAGTGCATGGGGTGTGGATTCAATGATCCAACGGAGGTGAACATCGTCTGCATAGACAACTATGTGGTCGCGGAGCCATGCAAGCGAGTACCTAGCCTTAAGGTCTAGGAGGATGGCGCTCATTACAAGGGTCCAAAGCAATGGGGCGTCTTTAGATCCCTGTTTAATGCCCCTGCAGGCAGTGACATGTCCAATCAATTGCTTGAAAGGAATATAATACTTGTGGGGGGCCAACCATGAATGGATCAATCGCAGAGCATCTACATCGAACTGGTATTGATCGAGCGCTTGAAGGACCAAGGATCTGGCTACCGTGTCGAAGGCCTTTTCCATATCTAAGGAGATCTGCAACCCTCCCTGCATACCCGGTGCATTGGGACTCGAACGAAAGTGGCTACATGTGTTGCGAACTTGTCTGCAATGGGAAGCCACAATGAGCAGGCAGTCACGAGTCCCCCGGGAAGGTAAGTAGGCGTACAACGGCAGTTGTCTCAAAGTAGGAAAGGCCTGAGACAAGATTAGACGACATTGTAGGCCAGCGAAGACCTTGCTAACAGGGTGTTGGAGACATATGGGTCTTAGTGCCTGTGGTTTGGACGGGGTTTTGTTGGGTTTGGGAAGAAGAAAGATCCACCCCGTGGTCCAATGTGGTGGTGGTTGTATTCTAGATCCCATCCAGCATTCAACAAACGTGTTCATGATAGGCTCGGCAAGGTCAGTGGCAAAATGCTTCCACACCAGAGCTGGTATGCCGTCGGGTGCAAGGGCCTTTGTACCAGGCAGTGCTCTCAGGGCTTCAGTCAAGGCCTGGCGGTCGAATGGGGCTACGGTGATAGGGTCAGTGTTAAACTGTGGTTGGTGATCATCTGAGTACAAGGCAGTATAGTATTGTTCAATCTGTTGTATCTCCTGGGTCGGAGACAAAGGGATGCCATGTGGATCGTACATCTGAATACGACGAAGCCGTTGCTTAGGGCAGAGCTGGCGAATCTTGCGATACCATTCAAACGTGTGGCCATGCAGGGCCAGATTAGCCCCTTCCGCAAGAATGGTTTCCAGTTTCTGACGTCGATTAGCTCGACTAAACTGCCTGATCTGTTTGTGACATCCCAAATAGGTCGTTACATGTTTCCAACATCTAAATAAGGATCCCAACGATTGGCCTCTGATGCGAAAGGCCTCTCTACGTGCATTCCACATCCTGGAGGAAATGGACAGGAGCTGAGAGGGAACGGAGCGAGGAGAACGTCGTTTGGGGAAGTGTTGAATACACAGTGCACGCAGTTGGGTTTCAAGATCAAGCATACAATCCTAAGCAGGGCGGTCAGGGATGGAAATCAAGTCATTGATCAGCTGACGTGCACGATCCTCGAAACAAACCCACTGGTCCAACTGCGCCTGGTATGCATGTCTCATGGCAAATCTATCATTCCTATTGAGCGGAAAGTGAGCCGGCTGAGGGGCATGCCACTGCGGAAGGGTCACCAACAAGGAATGATAATGAGGTCCAAAGTTCCTCTCGAATTGAGTGTTCGTGAGCGGCTTCATGCGTCGGTATCGAACCTGCTGTTGTCGAATCAGAATGTAGTCAATGCGAGAGGCATGAGTACCATGAGAGGCATGAGTACCATGAAAGAATGGGTTTTGGTAACCCCCTTTACAGTTGACGGCAATCAGGTCCTGAGATCTCAGAATTTGCTACAAGACATGGCTGTCCTTATGCACATTGGGTAGTCTTCTGGGGTCTTCCGTTCCAACAAAAAGTGGATCGGCACGAAGAACAGTATTGAAGTCTCCAAGAACAATTAAATAATGGGCCTTGGGAATATGATTCAAACAGTTTTGAAGTGCTAGCCACAATTGTTGTCGTTTTTGAAGGAGGGGTTAAGAGCCTTGACATGGATTCCAGGCATGTTAATAAACAATGAGAAAATCAATCGTACGCTTAAGAAATATCCGCCCATGCAGGAGGCGTCCTTCAATCAAAGTGGCCGTGGCCAATCGATCTGCTGCAGCGAGGTGGACACGTACCATTAACAAGACGGAGGCCTATTTCCAAGCCGAATGTGTGCAGTGCCATTCGGAGGTGCTCCATGTAGCCGAGAAGCGCCATCCCGTCTCTTATATAGCCAACACTTCAAACGGTTGAGTAGAAGTCCAAATCAGTAACTCATCATAGACCAATGCTTTCGAGGCATTCCAAGTCATGCAGCGAATGCCAGGTGCAATAGAGATTAGCGTCAACGCCTTCCGAGCAGCCGGCAGTTGTCTGAAGGACTCACGGAACAGCCGGCAGTTGTCTGAAGGACTCACGGAACCTCCATGGGACATCTGTAAAGAGGAGCATCTTCCCTCGGTACTCAGCCATACCATAGCGTAAGGCCCTATAGCATGCTCTTTGGTATGCGCGCTTAATGCGCG